TTATTTGCAAAGCCTGTGTCCTGCGATCCTGCTGGATTCCCCTAACATTACACCGACGTACACAGCAGTTTTCACTCTCATTGAAAGAAGAGAATGTCCGTTCTGTGTGCTCACGGGGGAGGAGAGAAGATGTAAATCTTGCCTTCACACATAATGGACCTTGCCCTCTTTCATTGAGAGTGAAAACTTCTGTGTACGTCTGGTGAGGGCATTATTAAACACATAAGGAGCACGGACAGCTGACACTGAGATATATCACCAAAAGCAAACAGTTTCATCAAGTGGAAAAGGAATGGACACAATAGCCAGCCTGCTATTGGATATTTTAAATTGCAATAGCCAATAGCAGGCTGGCTATTGTACCCGCCCATTGCCTGCTGTCAATCAACAGAGAGGACCTGATGGAGAACTTTGTCTTCAGTTCCCTCCTTTGCTGATTTACAGCAGGCAGTGGGCGGGTACAATAGCCAGCATGCTATTGGCTATTGCAATTTAAAATATCCAATAGCAGGCTGGCTATTGCTCCCAGCCACTGCCTGCTGTATTTACATTCAGTGAATCCAGTGAAGTGGAAAGGTGACACTAGAGGTTTAAAAGACCCCTAACGTCACCTTAAAGAGAACCTGTCACCTCCAATGCACACAGCCCTGGCGAGAAACTGCCCTAAAATCATAAGTCTGTATTGTTTTAGAAAAAATGTCACCTGTCCCTTTAAGAAAAAGTATCGGTAATTGGTATCGGCAAGTACATGAGAGACAGTATTTGTAATTGGTCTTGAAAAAGTGGTATCGGGACATCCCTACAATCAAGTATTGCCTAACATCCTGCATTTAACTTATATGATAACCTCTTCAAAACTACAATGAGATTGGTTCCTGTGCACAGTAGCTATTCTTTTTAAAGAATCGTAAACAACACATGTTCGTCACCTCTTCAAATACCATCAGAAAGAAGATTTACACTTCAAAGGACATAGATAGCCAAAGGCATTAGGACCATAGCCAGGCAGAGCAATGAAGATTCCAATACTCTGTTTTGCTCTCCATGTAATGCATGTAAAATAAATACATTTTCCGTATTTTTATCTCCATAAGACGCACCCTTCCAAAAGGCGGGCAAAAATGTCTGTGCCAATGTGTGAGAGCTGAGGTGGCGGGGCTGACAGTGTACCCAGGGTTGTGGAATCCCTATCGCCCGACGCCCGGGACATGCAGTTTCGGGCGCCGGGCGAGTCGTTTTTTTGTACATTTAGCCCTGCTCTGGACAAACAGAGCTAAATGTATAGTGTGGAGCCGCCGCTCGTTTTCATACAAGTGATCTGATTAGATCACTTGTATGAAAGGAGCAGCGGCGATCCTGTCCCCCCGCCGCGGTTTTCGGGGTCCCCAGCTGCCCTGGGGGACCCATGACCACGGCATAGGAGCTCACCATAGAGCCCGTAGAGCAGACGAAGAACATCCGTTCTTCGTCTGCTCTGTGTGATCACTGAGACCGTGGGTTTTGTAATCACAGCGCCACCTGTCTCAGCAGTCAGGAACTACACAGAACCCTACCCTCCCTAGGTGCGTCTTATGGAGCGAAAAATACGGTACTTTTTAATTCGGCTTCAGCAGTCAACGTTATTGAAACTCCTGAGTTTGGGTTTCCATGACAAATGTATTTTAATTGCCTTGTAAAGTAAAACATTTACAAGGCAATTGTATCCTTGTATTTTTCCAAACACAACGTTTACATAAATGTATCCCATAATATGATCGAGAAAGTCTGCTGATTAAAATAATTTGAATCATTAATATGATATACAATGATATCACATTAGTGCCACTTTCATGTAACATCGCAGAATGGAAAAACCTAAAGTGTATGTATGTATTTTACGTCAAGAGAGCTTTTCTGCTTTCCATGATACATTGTAATGCACGCAAGGTAAAAAGAGTCAGTTTGTGTAAATTGGTGACATAACAGAAAGAGAAGATCAAATTGATTGGCGAGGGCTAAAAATCCAAATAACATTTAGTTCATTTTTGTGCTTGCAGTGTCATCCAGATCATCCGACATCATTGTTGGGACCTGAGGATTTATCTTGGGAGCTCTCCTCCAATCATAGAGCTCTCTTTACTGCATTAAAGTAGTAATGAACTCTCAATTTTTTTTTAAATAATGAATCCAGATCAAACAAATATACATTTCCAAGTACAGCATTTCTTTAAATTTTTTCCCCAAACACTAAAGGTGGCCATACACTTTACAACCATCGCAAGACCTTAGTCTTGCAATGGTTGTAAAGTACTTAAAAAAACGTATGCTCTGCCCATCTTGGACAGGCAGATCGTACTTGCGATCATTGCAAGCCCGCCCCCCTGAGGGGCAGGCTTGCGATGACTGCAATGAGGGGCGGGCTTGCAAGCACGGCAAACGGGCAGTGTGCGTGTGCGCACACCGGCCCGTTCGTCAGTTGTCGAACAAGCAGGCCACTAACTCGCCGAGAATCGTACGATTACCGGCGGTTTTCCAGCCTGCTTGTTCGATGGAAGACGTGCGACCGTACAGTAGAAACGGTCGCACGCCTTCCATACACTGTACGATTCTCGTACGATCGCGGGATTTCCCGCAATTCGCGTAAGAGAATCGTACAGTGTATGGGCACCTTTACAGTTACCATGTTTCCAAACAGCTGGCTCCAACTCTCTCAGCTCAGCTTCCCTGAACTTTCTGTCCTGTGCAAGATCACAAGGGACAGCACAGTCTCCAGCAACTGTTCATATGCTAGTTTATAGAAGAGAGGAGCAAGGAGTGGGGGAATGACTTGCCCTGCTGCATGTTGTGGAGACACACACAGCTTACCAGCACACACAAAGCTCCTGCAAGAAGGAGCCACCCTTAAAGTGACATTAAAGTCTACATTTTTTCCCCCTCCCCCTAAGTTACTGTCAGCACTTACCTTAAACTATGTTTCTTAATCCGATCTTGTTCTTTCCTGTCCTTTTCATCTGTCACTCCAGCGTTGCGGTGGGTGTCCGATCCAGCGCTGACTCCTCTGTCCTTGCTGGCACTTCCTGTCCCACGGTGTCTGCATACGGGAGCACGTGTCCATAGACTTACCTTGTGTCTCTCCTCGTCTCCCGGCCGAAAATCTGAACTGCGCATGAGCCCGCCCCAAGATGCTTTGCGGCCGCACAAGAATTTTCACATTTTTGGACGGGTACGCACGGCGAAGACGCAGGTAAGTTTTTTTTTAACACTTTTTGCATATATCTACTGCTTGCTAGCCATAGATATATAGATATATGCAAAAACACTGGAGGCTTTAATTATACTTTAAGATATCAGGTCCAGTGCTCAGAGGACCAGCTGATTCTGCAGGAAGCTAAAACTTTTAAACATAAAAGAGCAGCATCCAGTGTAAGTGATTTAATCAGCATTTGAAATAGCTTAAAGCTGAACTTCAGGAATTTCAAAAGAAAATCTTTGCAGTGGTGATGTTTTTTTTTCCCCACGCTGAAACGCATACAAATAAAAATCCTATGTATTCCTGTGGGGGGCGTTCACGCAAACACGCTGATCTGTGCATAACAATACTCCCGTTGTTTGAAATAGTCCCTGAGCTTCTTTTGTGGCACTTATCAGCTCGTTTTGCTCATAGGCTTCAATGGAAACGCGCCGATCAGTGCGTTTTTGCGTGGTTTTTTTTGTGCTGTTTTTGCAGCTGAGACTGCTTTTCATTGGACGACATATGAACAGAAAACACCTGTAAAACACGCATAGAAAATGCGCTACAAAAGTGCATAAAGCGCGCTGAAACTCTGTCGCCCTGGTGTGAAGTGGTGAACTAACTCACAACAACAACCTCCCCTCCTCACCGGTCCCCGCTGCACTTATCTGTAATGAAATAGTGACAACGATTCTAACCCTTCCCCACCTCATCAAGTAGAAGATTTTGGCAGGGGATATTCTATAGGAAGCGCCATCCCTATAATGAAGCAGCCTATGGTGGTTGCCTCAGGAGGCAGCTCATTGGGTCACACCTGCCATCCCCTTTACACCAAGATTGTCCCAGGTTGCTAAGAGCTTTTAGAAACCTGTGACGCTCTGGCTGGCGTCCCACCCAGCTTACTGATGTCACTGGATGACAGGGGGACGCTCTGGCTGGAGTCCTGCCCAGCTCATGGCAATCCGTGACATCAGTGAACTGGGACAGAGATACCATACACCAACCCCTCCTCCTGGTAACATGTGTCACCAACATCCCCTGCCACCCCATCAGCATGCCCCCCCCAGCGAAAATTGTAGGGATGCTTCTTACCAGGGCCATCCCTATAATGAGGCAGTCTGACGTGATCACCTCACGCAGCATCCCATTAGGGGCCGGGGGGCAGCTACAGCCCGCCAGGTTGCTAAGAGCTCTTAGCAACCTGTGATGCTCTTTCCGACTTCCCACCCAGCTCACAGATATAATCGGTTGCCAGGCAGCTGAGCGGGATGCTCTGGCTGGCATTCCACTGAGCTCCTGGCAACCAATGACGTCAGTGAGCTGGACGGGACCAGACAGAGAGCTGCACACAGCCACCCGTCCCACTAAAAGTGACGCTGCTCTGCAGGCCCCCCACTCCTGACCCAAAAGATCTATCAGCAGCAATCACCCACCACCCACCACCACCGCTCTATGGTCTCAGGTGGCATACAGGGTAGGGACGGCCCTGACTCTATAGAAGTACCATTTATCTTACTGACGGAGCCTTGTTCCTGCCATCTGTAGCTCTAGTTAAAAATTTCGAGTAGAAAGCCTTCCCACCTCCATGTATAGAGATAAACATGTGACAGTAACCTAGCTACAGAGAACAGGGAGGTTACGGTTTAAAAGCCGATACACACAGAAGAGGAAGATCTATGATTGACATATTTCCAGGAGTTGCTCTCACAATGGGTCCAGGAATGGGGCGTGGCTTAGAGGACACACCCAGAAAAATCACATAACATCAGGGACAGTGCTTGTGAATGAGGGAGACAAAGAAGGAGAGGGCAGGAATAAGCTATAAGCATGTCTTTAGCTGCACTCATCTCCTTCCTGAAAAGTAAAGAGTCCATCATCTTCAATGCCATAGTAGCATTGCTGACGGTCGGGGGGCAGCAGCTGTTCTCGTTTTTTGCCTTCAGCTGCCCGTGTAGCCCCACAGAGAACTTGAGGTATGGGCTGGCTTTCCTTGGAGTGCCTGCTCTGCTCCTGCTCATTGTGGGGATCGTGTTCAATGACAATACGTGGAGGCTGTTCACGGGGACGACGTACGATGTGTCCATCCAGGAGAGGAGCAGGCAGAGCCTCCTGATGAAGTATAAACTCCTCTGCTTCGTGCTGGGGAACGTCCTGGGCAGAGCGCTGGTCGCCCCGGTCACGTGGCTGTCGGTGACCCTGCTGAACGGCTCGTACTATGTGTGTGCGGCCAGCGAGTACGCCGGTGTACAGCACTATGACATCTTCACCAACATGAGTGTGGAGGTCAGGAGGAGAACCCTGGCTCAGTTCCCTTGTCCTCAACTAGTTCTCAGCAACTTCACCAGGATCAGAGAGGAAGTGCTGCTGGAGCTCAAGTATCAGTCTCAGGTATGTCCTTCTCACACCAGGGGGACCACATTCTAAAACGACAAGGGATGCTGTTGTCCATGACAACCAATGTCAACATTTTATTTATTTCTCGCTGTGTCCCATTTAAAGGTATATTCTGCTTTTTGCATACATGTCATGTGTCTGACTCGTTTAAAGGGGAATTGCACTATTTGCAACAAACTTCTAAGTGCAACTTCAAAAAAAAATGCATTTATTAATTTTTTGCATTGGAGCGTGCAAAGCGTTGCAACTGTGATCAGGGGTGCACTGCTCAGTCTCCTGCAGACTTTTCCTCCAGTCCTCAGTCATAGGACTGGAGGAAGTAATCAGTGGATGGCGGTTGCACTGCTCAGGCTCCTGCAGACTCTTCCTCCAGCCCCCCTTTAATTATGGAGCTGGAGGAAGTAAAAAGTGGATCATAAGTGCAATGCTGAGGCTCCTGCAGATTGTTTCTCTCATACTGAGGTATAGAGTTTCAGTTATGGGGCTAGGGGAAGTAATCGGTGGATCACGGGAACAATGCATAGCCTCCTGCAGACTTTTCCTCCAGCCCCAGGTACAGACCTTCGGTTATAGGACTGGAGGAAGTAATTAATGAATGGCGGGTGCAATGCTTAGGCTTCTGCAGACTCTTCCTCTAGCCCCAGGTCTGTACCAAGGTTTGGACCTTCAGTAATGAGCTTGGAGGAAATAATCAGAGCATTGCAGGTACAATGCTCAGGCTTATGTACACTGCTCCTCTCATACTGAGTTACGGACCATGGGTAATGGTGCTTGAGGAAGTAATCAGTGAATCGGAGGTGCAATGCTCAGGCTTATGTACACAGTTCCTCCCATACTGAGTTACAGGCCATTGGTAATGGAGCTTGAGGAAGTAATCAGTAATTCGGAGGTGCAATGCTCAGGCTTATGTACACAGTTCCTCCCATACTAAGTTACGGACCATGGGTAATGGAGCTGGATGAAGTAATCAGTGCAATGCTCAGGCACCTGCAAACTGTTCCTCCACCCCAGGTCCGTACCAAGGTACAGACTTTCGGTTATGGAGCTGAATAGTTACCAATGGATTACAAGTGTGGTCACTGCATTAGTAGTCCATTACTATCTTCCTCCAATTCCATAACTGAAGGTCTGTATCTCTATACGGATCAGGGGTTGAAGGAACAGTTTGAGAACTACAGCTTCCTATGCGGCAGTGGCAGACAGGACTTAATTAAATAAAAATTAATCAATTAATTTTATAAAAGTGTCTGAGACAATTTCTGTTTTTAACTGGCGTGGTTGTTCATAGCATTTCTTTTTTTTCACAAAGCTTAGAAAATAAAAATGTATAAGCCGATTGTCTGCACTCCATTTGAGATAAAAGTTTGTTTCATTGTTGCAAGCTCTCCTGAGGGACTACAGATCACCTCCCCCCATGACACAGAAGAAAGAGGAAGGTTTTCTGTACTTCCTGTCTTAGGGTGACAATACTGCTCCTCCATAGATGCTTTACAGTAAGACCCCTTTCAGATGAGCTGATCAGGAGGGCATTGATCCTCTCCTGATCAGAGCATTACCAATTTGATGTCGCTGCTGTGGCATCCGTGTCCGTCCAGTGTTTTTACTCCATCTTGCAATGAAGGAAAGAACTAAAACTGCTGGAGTATGGGGAGTTGGATGTAAACGGACATGTGTCCGTTTACATTAGATCACCCCCGATCCAGCATGATCAGGTCCAGTGACATGGAACTCCATTTAATTTTCCAGGCCTGGCCTGAGCACCCGTCCGTTTAGACCCATCTGCCCATAGACTAGCATTGGGCATCCAATTGGGTTCGCCTGAAAAACTGTCAAATGGACCTGATTTGACTGCCCCTGTGAAAGGAGCCTGAGTGAGCGTGGTCACCCTAGGACTGGAAATGTATTAAAGGGGTTCTAAAGCCTCCGTTTTTTTGCATATATGCAAAAAGTAAAAAAAAAAACGCTTTAACAGCGGTTTAAACTTACCCAGTCTTCACCATGCGCTCCCATCAGAAAATCTGAAACTGCTCGGGCGGCCGCAAAGCATCTTGGGGCGGGCGCATGCGCAGTTCAGATTTTCAGCCGGGAGACGAAGAGAGGCGCAAGGTAAGTCTATGGACGCGTGCTCCCGTATGCAGACACCGTGGGACAGGAAGTGCCAGCAAGGACAGAGGAGTCAGTGCTGTATCGGAGAGCCGCCGCGCCGCTGGAGGGACAGATGAAAACATCAGGAAAGAAGATGATCGGATTAAGAGACATCATTTAAGGTAAGTGCTAACATTAACATGGGGGGGAGGGAAACAAAAATTGACTTTAATGTCTGGATTTGCAGGTATAAATAAAAGGAAAAAAACCTGATAATAGACAACGAATGTAGCCTCCTAATCTATGGATTGACGAGCTTTCATATATGACATTTTTGTACATGGGAGCTAATGTGGAGGTCATATGTATTAGTCTGTAGAAACAGCTAACAAATCTTGGCATGTAGGTTGGGAATGATTGTGACAGCCAGAAGGTTTGATGAAGAAATTGTCTAGTTACATAACGCAGAAGTTACATATTGGGACATTAACAGACAACCGAACCACACGTGCCATGCTAGAGACAACCGCACTTTCCAGTGTCTAAGAAATAAAAAAAAAAGGAAAATCAAAGTTTTGCATCTGTATAGTCTTTTTGTAAATCTTTCCAAGCTCCCAGTTCCGCCCACTGTTTTTCAGGATTTTCTATTCTGATGAGATGCCTTTGCTGCAGCAGGAGGGGTAAAGCTTCAATGGCAAAGGGGGGCAGACCTGGAAACTCTATTTGGCCATACAGTGAGGGGAATTTATCAAAACTGGAGCTGACAAAATCTGGAGCAGCTGTGCATGGCAACCAATCAGTTTCTCTTTTACATTTTAAAATCTTAACTGAACAAACTGAAGAGAGAAGCTGATTGGTTGCCCTGGGCAACTGCTCCACATTTTGTCTGCTCCAGTTTTGATAAATTCCCCTCATCGAGTCCTGCTGATGTAGCCAACATATGAGCCGTGTCTGGCCACGTCAGCTCCCCTCCTTTCATTAAAAGTCAAATGTGCAATAAAAAAACTGAACAGTGACGGCAGCTAATGATAATAATGTATAATAATAATAATGTTTGTGTATTCTGACAGCGGCACACCCGCATCTGTCAGAATATAATAGCCCAGCTTCCAGTGTGGAAGATCCCCTCTTCCACACTGTTTAGAATAGATGTTTCGTGTTCAGCTTCTCACTGGATTTACCAACAAAACAAATAGAAGGCGGTGGAGAACCATGATTACAATTATAGGTGACGTTAGCCTTTCATTTACAGTGTATAAGATAAACAAGGCAGACTGTAAATATACAACCATACAATATATATAGGAAGGTTTTTAAAATACACTTTTGTAATTGCATATTAAACTTTAATGACATATAAATTGAATGTGCGGCTGCCATTTCTTGTACAACAGACGCTGGGTCGAGCAGTAAGAAGAGTGACTAATGCACACTCTATGTTCACGTCACAAAGAGCTGTTTTTCAGGTTTATAGTTCATGTCAAGACCTGATTGTGTGTAACCATAGCTGGGATGCTTGCCAATTTATCAAAATGAAATATATTTTATTAATCACATCTGGTTAGAGCTGTTTTCTTGTTAAAGAAGAACTCCAGGGAAAATGATTAACGCTTGCAGTGGTGCTACCCCCACACTGCAAGGGTTAACTGCTTGTTTCTGTCTAAGGCCTCATTCACACTGTAATCGGCCGGTACGTACAGCTCTGTGCTGCGTGCACGGCCGTATCGAGCAGCTCCCGGGAAGGACAGGTGCTGCGTGTGATTAGTACACAGCCCATTGTCCTTCTCTATGGGACTACGCGGCCGTACGCCCCCCTATGCTCACCCGCCCTGCACGTCCGTGCGTGTGAGCGTACTCGTACGCCGACGGCGCTGACAATTGATGCAGTGCTTATTCACATCACTCCTTGCCCTCAAGGAGCTTACAATCTAATGCCCCTATCTCACAGGACCAATTTAGACAGAAGCAAATTAATCTTCCAGCATGTCTTTGGAGTGTGGGAGAAAACCAGAGTACCCGGAGAAAACCCACGCAAGTACAGAAAAAACATGCAAACTCCTTGCAGATAATGTCCTGACTGGGATTTGTACTAGGGGCTCCCAGGGCTATCTACTAAGCCACTGTGCTGGCCATTTTTAATATAATTCATTTCTTGGCTTGCCACCCTCTTTCTCTCGGGCACTTTTGCATTGTGCAGGTGCACAGTATGCAGGGCTGCACCTCCCCTTCTGATGACATGGATATCCCATGATGCCTTGTACTCCCGGTGGACAAGCTGTGCTTGCTGACATGCTGTGCATCAGAGCGTCAGCTTGGAGACAACAGGGAGCACACATGCTAGGTGGAGAAATCTGCTTCTGTTTAGGAAGTCATTCAGGGAGTGTTGTTACCCTAAGACAGGAAGTGTAGAAACTGGAAGGATTACCAGACAAACTGAAGAAAAGAAATGACAGCACTGAAATGAGTGAAGGGTAGACATGCATTCCTGTAAGAGTTATCATGGGAAAAAGGTGTCTCCACTGAAGCTTCATCACCAATCCTTGTTTCCATGACAACCCAAAATGTTCAAAGTGAGGTGAAATCTTCTGAACAGGGGCACACGCAGCAAAACAAACTTTACAGGGGGTAAACCCTTCCCTATGCTATCCGAAACAAACAAACAAAAAAATTTGGGCTGGAGTTACACTAAAAAAATTACCTGCTCCAACTTACATACAAATTCAACTTAAGAACAAACCTAAAGAACAAGTCCCTATCTTGTTCGTAACCCGGGGACTGCCTGTATTTAGGAATTCATCCACCTTTTTTCTTTAAAGAAGTACCTGAGCTAGCTAGATCTAGCTCCTGGGGGAGTCTATTCCACTTTTTCACAGTTCTTACTGAAAAGAAGCCTTTCCATCTGCAAAGGTTAAACCTCTTTTCTTCCAGACGCAAAGAGTGCCCCCTTGTCCTTTGCAGTGGCCTTAAAGTGAATAATTTGGCACCACACTCACTATATAGACCATTTATGTATTTATATATGGTGATTATGTCCCCCCTTAATCGCATCTTCTCCAGAGAGAACAAATTCAGGTCAGTTAACTTCCCTGGCGGTATTCCCGGGGTTAATTTTCAGTATCAAGAGCGGTAACCCCGAGCCAGACTCGGGATTGCGCAAAAGTGTCACTTTCCTTGTCCCTGCGAGCCCGCGGTGTCCTCTGCTGTGTGCGCCCGGCTGATGCTGGCATTTGGCTTTTAATCCTCCATAATCAGACTGCCAGGGAGGTTAATCTTTCCTCGTAGCTGAGCTCCTCCATGCCTCTTATGAGTTTAGTTGCCCTTCTGTGAACTCTCTCCAGTTTTTCAACATTCTTTTGGTGAACTGGTGCCCAAAACTGAACTGCATATTCCAGATGAGGTCTTACTAATGCTTTGTACAGGGGCAGGATGATGTCTCTTTCTCTGGAGTCTAGACCACTTTTAATACAAGAAAGTATTTTGCTTGCTTTAGAAACTGCAGCTTGACATTGCATGCTATTATTAAAGCTGGCCATACATTGTGAATTTTGCACAGTGGTGCCGCTGTTGACACCCTTTCGGCCGCCTTCCCTCGATCAGCTGATCGAAGACGGCGGTCAGAAAACCGGCTTACAAGCCCCCCATGTGATAGCAGATGGTGGTGATAGGTACTCTTTAAGGTGATGCTGGGGGTCCAAAAGTCCCCCAGTGTCACCTTTACACTCTCAATAAGCTATTGAAGTGCAGATAGCAGTGGCTTTTGTCTGTTTAAACAGCCCCGATGCCAGTGGTCGTGAAGGGGTTAAAGTGTAAAATCACACCAGTGCCACCACCTTTCAGATAGCAGGGTGAATAGGATGTTGAGCCCTAAAAGTAGGAAGGTCAAATAGCTCATGTAAGTTTGGATATACATTAAAGTGACATTAAAGTAAATTATTTTCCCCCTCCCCCCAATGTTAATGTCAGCACTTACCTTAAATTATGTCTCTTAATCCGATCTTCTTCTTATTTCCTGTTCTTTTCATCTGTCCCTTCAGCGCTGCGGCAGCTTTCCGATCCGGCGCTGACTCCTCTGTCCTTGCTGGCACTTCATGTCCCACGGTGTCTGCATGGTGGTGCACGTGTCCATAGACTTACCTTGTGTCTCTCCTCGTCTCCCGGCCGAAAATGTGAACTGCGCATGCGCCAACCCCAAGATGCTTTGCAGCCACCCGAACATTTTCGGACGGGAGCGCGCAGGGGAAGACACATGTAAATATTAACCTTGTAAAGCGGGTTTTTTCTTTTACACTTTTTGCATATATCTACTGCTTGCCAGCAGTAGATATATGCAAAAAAACAGAGGGTTTAATAACCCTTTAGCAATATCAAGATTATAACAGCTCTCAATCATCATGCAAATGGCATCCTTATACTGCTTCCACAATGCGAATTATACAGCCTATAGAAGTGAAGGTAAGATCAAATCAAACTCAATTGTAAAATATTGTCAGGTTTATGAAGTAAATTAATAAGAGCTCAAAACTCGAATTTTTCTAGTGCACATTTAGCACTCTCTGACATATTTTTTTAGTCACTTTACTCTTATATGGTTGACTTAAGATTGGGCACATCAAAGGTTATATTTGAAAACCATTAATGCATTGTAATAATTTTTTCTCAGCTACATAAAAAAGTATATACTTAACTCATTCTCTATTATCGTTTCTTTCAGGTTAGCGGATGGCTTTTGGTGGCATTTGTAGCCATCTTATTCTTTGCAGTCCTGTGTGTAGCTAGGTGCTGTTCACCACTCACCTACCTTCATCTGAGGTACTGGACCAGCTACGTTAATAATGAGCAGACTCTGTTTGAACAAGCAGTGGATCAGCATTCAAGGATTTTTGCCCTGGAAAATATCAAAAAGTTTTTTGGGTTTGCGCCTGGCAGTAAAAAGGTCACTGAAATACGCATGCCGTCACGTTTGGATTGGAGAACTATTTCTGGACTTGATCTCCTTAAAGTAGTCGATCAGGACTATTGCCATTACAGTCTTCTTCAGGCATGGGCAGATGAAGATTTAGGAGATGGTAAAATTATTTCTATTGATGTAGAACAAACCGCGGTCGAGGCACCTCCGCCTCTAGTTCCACCTATATCTAAAACTGCATAAATCTGTAGTTTCATTATCTTCTGGCAGTAAAGTCAGTCCACCCAGGTCAGTCTACCCAGAATGCATATAAACCACCCAATGGTGAAAGGCAACAGGTGTGTTTTAATCCCTCCTTTCCACCAGCACAGACTCGCTTTCCTTTGCTGCCCTGCTACCCTGTTTTTCCACCAGTAGTGAAGAAGATACCTGGTACTTCCAGGTATGGTGTAGCATGTGACCCACTATATTTGACAATATGGCTGCTTGGTGATTGGCAGTGCTATCACGTCGAACAGAGAACGCCCTCAGCCCTGGGAAAGCTCTGCCTGAAGCTTATACAGGCCCATCTTTCTTCGCTGCTTTTGGCTGACTAAAGCGAGGGAGAGAAGGAAATGTAAATGTGCAGCTGGAAAGGGAAGGATTAAAGGAAATTCCTACATTGGCAAATCAGTTTTGAGAGTTGCACATCTGCCATGGCCACTACAAGGGGTTAAACTCTCCCTGTACATTTTTTAGCTTACATTATTGGGAAGGTAAATGAGAAGTAAAGTGAGCGCACCTACTACCCTAAGGTGGGTAACCACAGATCTCACAACTTGTGATCAAGCTCAGGGTCAATTCATTTCCAGAAAAAAAAAAATACATTTTGGGTAGACTGACTAAATACATTGCCTGGCCAAAAAAAAAAGTCATACACTCCTAATATTTAGTTGGACTCCCTTTAGCTTTGACTACGGCACGCATTCGCTGTGGCATTGTTTTGATACGCTTATGCAATGTCACAACATTTATTTAAATCCATAAATCTTAAATATGAATTCAAGAACCCTAACAAAAATGTATCTTTTTTGTAGATCACTCGGCTGTAGATCCTCAAATCATCTCTGGATTGGTGCTGACACCGTCCTTCCTCATGGATAGTGACTACTTTTCTTCTCCATGGTCTCTGTGTGTGTTGTGAAGTAGCCACTGGTCCTCAGTCACTCCTGTGATGCACATTAAAAATTTCACATCAGTGCCACAAGACCCGGCCGATTACACAGGCAAAGTTAGTGGAGGCAGCTGTTTATTGCTGTGACATATTAAAACCATTAATTGTTTTCACAAAAGTAGACCAATCACAGGGCCATCTCAACTTTCTCCTACAACAACAGCCATATTATCCAACGAGGGACTATAACGATCACGTAGGGATAATGACAGGCAATGGACTCGTGTCTCCAAACCCCACTGCTACATGCTACATATTTCTGGGGCCACACCTTCCTCAGAGCTAGCTGTGAGGATGTGGTCGTGGCCCCGGAAACGCATTAGCATTTTGAGAGAACAATTGATGGTTTTAATATATCACAGCAAAGGTTTTACACTGAGGAAGGCACCTTGTCTGGATTTTGTTTTCTTTGTGATGCACTACAATCTCAAACTAGTAAACTAAACATGAGATTGTAGTCCATCATGGGAGTGAGCTTGGAGCGGTGACTACTTTACAGCACACAGAGGCACCATGGGGAACAAAAGTAGCCACCCTCTAGAAGGAAGCATAGTGTCAGCATGAATTCAGAGAAGATTTGAGGATCTACAGCTGAGTGATACACAAATAAGGTACATTTGTGTTAATAGTTAAGGTACTTGAATGCATTTTAAGATTTAACTCCTGAGTTTAGTGTCACTTACATTTTTCACCAAGATCTTGTAGTGATGATGAGAAAGTCAGACCACTTTAGGGCTGCAACTAACAAATTATTTTCACAATCTATTAGTTGGACAATTATTTTTTCGATTACTCGACTAATCAGATAAAAGAAAAATAAATACAATTTTTTATTCAAAATACACAAGTGGGGTTTTACAAACAGTTTATTTCAGAATAAAACTGCATGCACAAATTATGGAATCGCACAACACTGGAACGCACGGCATTGCAGTTCCACGCATTCCAGTGTGGGCAATCAGTGTGTGTGATTGGTGTGCGTGCGTTGCAGGAGATTTTTAGGGGGGGGTATTTTTAATTTTTTATTAAACTTTATTTATTTTTTTACAAGCCCACAATGTAATAGCACATTGGAGGTGACAGGTTCTCTTTAAACTGACATTAGGGGTCTTTTAGACCCCTAGTGTCACCTATCCACTTCCTTGGGGAATGACAGCTGCCTACTGAGGCAGCTGAATGTAAATACAGTATGCAGTGGCTGGGAGCAATTGCCAGTCTGCTATTGGCTATTTCAAATTGCAATAGCAGGCTGGCTATTACACCCGCACACTGCCTACTGTCAATCAGCAGAGATGGGATCAAAGGAGAAAGTTCTCCTTCTGGCCTTCCTCTGCTGATTGACCGCAGGCTGTGGGCAGATGCAATTCAAAATAACCAATAGCAGGCTGACTATTTCTCCCAGCTGCTGGATGGGAGATTTGACGCTGATTTTCTACCGCCAGCAGAAGAGGGGGCACGGAGCAGCAGCGGAGCGACAGAGGCAGCGCAGGCACGGGGGGAGCGCAAGAGAGGCAGCGCGGGCAATGGGGAGCGACAGAGAGGCAGCTCAGGTATGGGAGCAATGGAGGTATGGGGAATGTAGAGGCACAGCGGCTGACAGGCGCTGATACAGGGAGGGAAGGGGCACACCGACCGCTTCATTCAGCGGCTCCTAGAGAGGAGGAGAGAACAGTAGAGCAGCAGCAACTAATCACAGAATCAACGAATCGATAATGAGAATCCTTGACATTTTCAAAGGGGTTAAAACTCTTTCACAATTTTAGCCCGATGAATCCAGGCGTTGTCATCTTGGTCATTCAGTATATTCAGGTAGGCAGCTGACCTCATTTTCTGAGGACATAACATTGATGCACCTATTCCTGACCAGCTGAAGCAACCCCAGTTCATAAAGCTTATCCAATGGAAGGCTCTGACCTATTTGTTAGCTATATCCATGTGGTGACTTTTTTTTTTTTTTGGCCAGGCAGTGAATATACTAAAGCTTGAAAAACAATTAAATGTCAGCTGTGCAATGTCTGCAGGCAAATTATATACCAAAGAATTGAAGAAATAAATTGTATATTTTTATTCCATTAACGAAATCTTAAAATGAAAATATTTTTGAAATATTTTGGTGCTACAGGTAGTTTTTAACCCCACCTTATGTCATTACTTTATACAGCAACATGTCAAAGTTAGTTTGCAAAGTTCTATTAGATTATAGAAAAAAATATAGATTTTATGAACTGTAAACAATGACACTATTGGAAAACACTGGTATAATAATAATAAAAAAAAAATTCTTACCTTTGTTGTCAATGTATTACTATTTCATTTTGTATGCATACATTTACTCAGTTTGCAGCAATTTAATTTTATGTCAATATTAACACCTTCAAAATGTAACCCACTTCTTTTCCAATTTTACTTTGCATTGGGCCTACAATCTTTTTCGCCCCGCCAGTATTGTTTTCTCTCTATATAACAGGTTGCCTGTTCTTGTTCTCCTTTTACAGGTGCTTTGGAAAATCTGGGACCGGAGTAGTGATGAGGCTGGGTTTGGTACGAACCCAATTCGCCTGTGTTCACCCGAGCCGGCTCAAAACTGACCACCCCCTCCTCCTGACCCAATCAGTTGTGGGGAGGCGCATTCCTCAACCAGCAGCTATACACAAAGGAGTAGGAAATGCCCCCACTGGAACCTTAGATACTGATTGGGATGGGAGGAGGGGGTGGTAGTCAGAGTTTTGAGCATGCTTAGGCGAACTCAGGCAAACTGGGTTCACACCAAGCCCAGCCTCATCTCTAGTTCTGAGCCTGCACATTTTTCTTACAACTCACTACAGGGGGATTGCTGCAGCAATTTTTTTGTTTATACTCTGTATCGGCTAGTCATTGTTTGCTTCGGTTGCCAAGGCTATGGGGTTGATTTACTAAAGGAGTAGACAGTGTTCACATAGGAAAGTGAATGTCCACTTAGCTTAGTAATGAAAATGAGGCCATATTCACCTTGAATACCCAACCATGGGCAAAAAATATTTTTAAAAAGACTAGAGTGTTGCCTTTCAGATGAGTGTAGTGAGCGCAGCTTGACCTAATTTGCCTTGACCTAAATTGTGTCATTCCACTTCAGTATGTGAATTAAATAAACACAAACAGGGCTATTCACAAAAGGGTGAAGAGTTTGGAGAAGACAGAAGTGAACAATCTTCCCCGGCTCAGTCACAGCATCTTAAGGTGCCCATACACTGCACGATTCTCGTACGAGAATCGCGGGAAATCCCGCGATCGTACGAGAATTGTGCAGTGTATGGAAGGCGTGCAACCGTTTCTACTGTACGGTCGCACGTCTTCCGTCGAACCAGCAGGCTAGAAAACCCGCCGGGGATCGTACGCTCACACAGCCCGTTTGCAGTCATCTTAAGCCCGCCCCTCATTGCAGTCATCGTAAGCCCGCCCCGCTTTCAATGATCGCAAGTACCATCTGCCTGTCCAAGATAGGCACATCGTGCGTTTTTTAAAGTACTTTACAACCCTCGCAAGACTAAAGTCTTGTGAGGGTTGTAAAGTGTATAGGCACCTTTAGAGGTGCCATGAATTGGCTGAGTATGTACACAAGTGCTATACAGTGTACACAAGAAATAATAGGCTATGCATGAACACAAGAAATAATAGACTTTGCATGTCTCTTCTGGCAAAAAATCCCTAGTTTCCAGCAGTTTTTTTTAAATATTTCCCTTTACTTCCATTTTATATTTCTGTAAAGGATATTTTGAGTTCATTATAGAGAGGTTCCAACCTTAATATTTTACACATTGAAGACAGTCAACCTTTTGCAGAAATGTAACAAATTTACTCAGATTAATATAAGAAATATGCTCAGAAATTGAGAAAAAAAGCGCAGGATTTTTGCTAGCACGTGGTTGATTGGTTGAAGAATTCACTTTGCAAAGTAAACATTCACTTTGCTGAGTGAACAGCCTCTACTCCTTTACTAAATCACCCCTTTTTAGTAACAGGCTCAGATCTCCTCCAGGAGTGATGGTTCTCAGGCCCTAGCGGCTGCAATAGTTGCTTTTAAGCCCTTGTTTCAGCTGTCACAGCAGGTGAGCAGCTATTTGAATCATCCATGGGCAGTGCCTGACTATCATGCTGTTTGGTTTCAATGCTTTCTAAATCACTGACCTTAGCAAGAAGCTCTGCCATAAAAAAAAATGAAGATGCTTATCAGGAACTAGCTGTAAGGTCACTAATATTGTCATCTATTATTTTTATTATTATGACACAGGATTTATATAGTGCCAACAGTGTTGGAGAGCAAATATTTCTTACATAATTCTTAATTTAAAATGTGACTATAATCACATGTGAATGTGCACTGTGTAAAGTGCTACATAAACTGTCGGTGCTATATAAATAACTGTAATAAATAATCAGTTTTAGTCATTGTATTGAGTGTTTACCTTTAAAGGAGAACTATGGGGTCAGTGTTTTTCCCCATAGTTCTCCTAAGGGTCACAGGAGGACACGAACTAGCGTCCTCCCGTCACCCAAAGCTCAGTATACCGCGAGCTACAGCTCGCGGTATACTGAGACGCCGCAGCCGGAGCGGATCCCGACATTACTGTCTAGGTCCACCCAGCTGCCTGATTGACAGCTAGCTCTGCCTATCTAGAGGCAGAGCCAGCTGTACCCACCCCCACCCCCTCCAAGTGAGCGAGCGACGGTATGTGTTTGCTCACTTCCCGA